GGGGGGGGGGGGGGGGGGGGGGGGGGTTGGAAAAAGCTCCCATCAGTCCATTGTGAGATTGGTTCTGACGTCTCGAATGGAGCGCCTTCAGTGACATTGTTCACCTGTCTCATTGGGTTAAAATGGGCAGAGGCTGAGTAGAGGTTGACCAGAGGAGGGAGTTACTGGTAGTTGCTGGTCAGTGGGGGGTAGGTGACGAGGGGGGGTGTGTTTGGGGGGGGGTGGCGATGTTGAGAGCTAGATTTAGAGTAGCTGACAGGTGGAATAAAACCTCTTATCTGATGAGACCCCCATCCTTCCAATGGGGGCCCCAAGTCTGAATAATGAGGACCAAATTACAACATGGGTCTGCGAGGAACAAGCCCCTATTGTTTGGTCTGCACCGCGAATGAGTGTCACAGCAAGTCGCAGGGCACGCACTGTTACCGCGCTGCTCGCTCAGCCTCTTGTCTTGGGAAGCTTCATTTTAAGAGGCCTCAGACAAATACGCACCCCCCACCTTACCCTCTCCAGTCCTTTCCCTTCCTCTCTCAACATCGGCATCTCTTCAGGCAAACCCCCCACCCCCCCACCCAGCCAGCCCGGCTAAATAGGGCAAATCTTCTTCATTGTGTGCCGACTGCCCAGTGTGAAATTCGCTGTGACGTTAAATGTTTTCTAATGAATAATTACTGAAAGGATATGGAGGGGAATATGTGTAATGGATTGTAGGCTGCATTTAGAAAAAAAGGGGGGGGGAAAGTTTTTTCTTATCCATCGTATTTACAGGACAAAAAAAAGTCGCCTTTCATATAGTAACGAGAATTGGGGGGGAGCTTTGTCAAACTGATCTGACGGATTATCTTTTTTTAGATGTTTTTTTCCTCATAGAAAATTGAAAATCAAAGAGGTCCTGGCCTCTGAAAAACCCTTAAAAATAAATAGTTTTTTTTTTCCTTTCACATTTTAAAGGGAGAATCTGGCAGCTATGAAAGCCTATGGGTGAAATGGTGAACTGGGGGGGGGGGGGTCAGGACATTCAGACATTCAGAAAGTGAATCGTGAGATTTTTCTCCTAGTGCTGTCGTCTCAAAGGTGTGGCAATTTTGCCAGCCGCTGCCCCCCCGCCCCGTCTGCTCAGGCCACTCAGAGTGTCGTGAATTGGTCCAATGTGCATTGTGTTCTTCACCACTGTTACATATTCTGGATTGCCCCCCTGAATTTGGACTCCTCAAAACATCCCTCCAAATTACTGCTCTTGAAACACCTTGTCACAAGCACCAGGACCATGTCTGATTTCAGTGGTGAGAGAAGTTTCTAGGACAGGAGTCACACTGCAGTGATGCATAAATCAGAACACACAGAATAAGGCCATAATCCATCCATGATTATTCTTCACATTCAAATGAATCGGACCTAAAGTCCAGAAAACCAGAAAGTTTCTAGGCAAAAACAGAAGGCAATAAAAAGCATGTGACTATTAAATTCCTCTCATGTGAACCCATCTAAAGACCATCCCTGTTGTTTACACAAATTGAAATAATAGAGTCTGGAATTTGAAAGAGAAGGATTCAGTTGCCCAATAGTGGTGAAAACTGAAATGCATTAAAAAAAACTATATTAGTAAATGCAAGTCCATTATCTTGGCAATCCCACAGTATAGCCCCCTTATAAATGTTTCTAATGAATGTAATGCCATGAGTAAAGAACTAACACCGCACCCCCAGAAGTAAATACTACCTATACCACACTGAGCCTACAATATGTATTGAGCAAAGTGGTTCCTCAGGGTTACAGCTTGCATTAAAAAAACTCTGATTTTATCTACTACTATACATAACTGTTTTTGACCCTGGGGCCTGTTTCAAGAAGCAGGATTTCTTACTTAGCTGGATAACTTGTCAGATTTAAGGTAGTCTGGGCTAAATGTAAGTGAATGATCTACTCAAGATCAAGATCTCAAGATCTACTACCTCTGAGGCTATCATCTAACTCCTCCAGCAAAAACCTTCTAGAATATCGCACACTCTTTCAGTTCCACTAGAATCAAATGTCTGTTGTACTCTGATCAAGCTTCTGCTTGCAAACTGTTTCAGTTGTTTAAACGATTTACAGCTGTTGCCCTAACCTCAGTCGTTGTGTTAGCTCTGTTCTCTGCCTTTCTCTTTGTAGTTTGCATTGTCGTTTTTCCACTGTTGATTACTATAATGTAGTTTTTACACAATCCCTTTCACAGTACAATTCCAGATGTTCTTTTAGAAAAGGTATTATGCATCTGGATCAGCTCACTGCCCCACTGGTCCCTCACACCTCCCAGGTTGACTCCAGCCCAGCAACATTTTGATTTTGTTATTTATTCTGAATAATCTGGTTTTCATCCCAAAGTCTGAATACTTGACCCAGTGGTACCTTTGATGTCTGTGCATGTAAGGAGATTGTCCTGTACTTTAAAACCCATTCCCTTCCTTACTGATTCTGGATCTTCTTGCTGGATAAGTCATTGAATAGATATAGGCATATTGAATAGATATAGTCATCAAAAAGATATAGATATATACATATCAAATAGATATAGGCATACTGAATAGATTTAGGCATCGGATAGATATAGGCGTATTGAATAGATATTGTCAACGAATGTAGGCATCTCAAATAGATATAGTCATTGAATAGGCATAGGCTAACTGTTATATGGATATACTTCTCATCTGAAGTTGATCGACTGCACATTCAGTACAGGAAAAAAAAACTTCAAACAAGGACCCTAAGTCCTGGTCTTGGTGGACTCTAGCATTTGTAGGTTATCAGGCATCCGAAATTGTTCTGCAAAACCAGTGAGAAAAAGTTAATAATGTTCAGTTAATGAAATAATTGAACAGAGAGCCTGTGTTTGAATATAATATACTTACTTTAGGGATGTAAACATGGCAGTCAAAAATAGGTTTAAATTGAATAACAACTGGACTGATGGTCCATCTTGTGGAGTGCTCTTGTTCTTTACAGGTTAATGTGGAGTGTGGAGTCCTCTCCCCTGTGAGCCTAACTCACGAAATGGGCTATCAGAAATAGACATGCCAAGCAGAGTCGTATTGTGCCAGATAGGTGTGTGGGTGCTGTTGGAATATGGCATGCAATTTATACAACTAAAATATCTATTTGTTTGTTGGGGGGGGGGGGGTTGTTTAATATGTTGCACTGTGTGCCCTTTACTGCTATATCACCAAATGTGGGTTTATCTATTTCAAGTTTTTAATAAATCCAACTTTGTGATTGTTTGCATGACTTTGTGTTTTAATTCAGTACTCAAGTAATGAAGTAATTAAGTCATTGTTCACTCTTTTTTTCCTACATACAAGATTATACTCCTTAATGACAGATCATTTGGAGGCCTCTATGTAGAAGAGTAAAAGCAACTAGTATCTTCTGGCCAGATAGTTAGATAAATCCTGCTTGGTAATTTCTGGAAGCTAGTGAAAACCAAATATAGCTGCAGAAACTTTAAATTCATGTTTGGTCATTAAGCCCCTTTGCTTGCAGGCAAGGGCGATTGTAAGATTAGAAAATTAGGAGGGCTCAGGCCCCTCACGAAATACAAGGTAAACATAGTAGACATATTTTGCAGTGGTTTAATTTAGATAAATGTCAATGGGAAAATTATGTTTTTTTTTTCTAATTTATAATGACAAAGGAACGCAATTCAGCCAGATTTGGTCGAACGAAAAGACGCGCCGCAAACTACAGAGCGCGAGACGCGCTTTTAAATTAAGTGAAAAAGGCGGAAGGTAGTCTGAGGTAAAATTCCATGGTAAAAATCACCATGGGAACGGTGTAATATTTGAGTTTTAAAACTTCACGTAAATATTTTAAAAATGTATATATTTATTAAATCGTCTGTAGGTTTAGTGTAGGCTACAACCACAGTTGTTATTCTGAATAAAAATTTTTTTTTTTGAGAGGTATAAAACCTTCCGTTCATTTAGCTGCTGAGATTAGTAAATACATCCTATCAGTCTTGTACAGTTAGAATGATATTTATAATGATTATAATGATTCGAGGTAGTTCGGTAAAATTTGGGTTGTTTTTCAAAGGATATTTTTAGACATCCTGAAGTAACATGAGAAGCTCCTGTTTTGCCAGATACTGTATGTTCAGTACAGTGGTACCTCAGAACTAGAATTTAATCCGTTCAAAACTCCGAATAGAATCCTAAAAAGTTCGAGTTGTGATCGAATTTTCCCCATAAGAAATAATGGAAAACCAATTAATTGATTCCCAGCCTCAAAAAATTACACCTAAATATGTTTTTTTTTTTTTTAGCATTTAAACACAAAATGAACCGGATAAAACAAGAAGAGCATATACTGTACTAAACACATCTAAGCACATTTATCAACACAGTAATTTGTAAAGTAAGAAAATAAATTTATCCAAACAATGTGTAAAGTTAAAAAAAACCCAATGTGTCCTGCCCCGATTGTCCGCCCCCTCGTTAACCCCGTGTGGAATGCCCGTGTGATCAGCTGTTTCTGGTTGTTGTCATTAGTCCTCTGTATATCGTCCGCGTTTCAATTTGTTTCCCCAGTCCAGTCATTGTATTGTCCGCCTGCGTTTTGCCTGCCTTACCTGTAATTAAACCCCGTATTCCCTGATACGCTGACGTCTGCGCCTTTGTCCCCCAGCTAAGCACAACAATATTATTATAATTAAATGTATTAATGGTTTATTATTATTATTAAAATAATGAATAAGAAATCTTTATTTTTAAATGTATTTTATTATATAATAATAATTACTGTTACTGTCTATCGTTGTCCAAATGTATTTTTTACTGTCTACATATACGTATGTATTCAGCTAATGTAAACATGAACGATTCTATCACAGCGAATGTGAGGCTGAGACTGAAGCTTTACCCTTTGTTTCCGCTGAGAGACGTGTGACTCATTTCCCTGGGCCTACATGTTATCTTAAGTCGGCATTCACGGTTTGACTTCTGAGATTCCGGTCGAGCTCTAGGTAATTTTTTTTTCGAACTGGTTGGTTCGACTTTTAAGAAATTCGAGTTCTAATGAGTTCGAGAACTGAGCTACCACTGTATTGGTTTGTGCAACCTCTCCCCCAGGTGCTAAACATAGCCAGCAATGTCAATTTGAAGAAGCGATGTTACTTTTGCTTTGATTACAGTATGTACTATATACGATATTATTATACATAATATAAAAAGCTATTCAAGCCAAAAAATGCACATTTATTTGGGGGGGCTAAAAAGGCCTAATGACACCCCTGCCTGAAGATGACTATTCCCCACTTATATCACAGTGCTCTGGATTTTAAACTTTAACCACTTCCTCTGTGGTTACAATGTGTGATTGGTTACAGAGGCAGAAAATGCGCAGTGGGCAGCCCCGACTGGACTTGGAAGGTGCACTGATAGCCCGGGACCGTGTGGGAATCCAGGATTTCGTGCTGCTGGATGCCTTCACCAGTGAAACAGCCTTCTTGGACAACCTGAAGAAGCGGTTCAACGAAAACTTAATTTATGTAAATCAGCAAAGCTTTATTTTCAAATAGACATCCCATGTCCATCACATGTCTAAGAAAATATTCAGATGGGTACAGGGGCGGATTAAGGTGTACAGAGGCCCCTAGGCTACAGTAGTCTGTGGGCCCCCCAACCCCGCCCCCCTCCGCGCCAATGGGGGCCCCCTTGCAGGCTGGAACACGTGGGGCCCCTAGGCTTAAGCCATATCTAGCCTGTGCGTTAATCCGCCCCTGGATGGGTACAAATCTTTTGATAGGTGTAACGGATCCTCAGTCTATAGTCTAGTCCAGTGTTTGTCAACCCCCTCCTTGGCTCGCCTGAATCAAACAATCAAGAACACTGAATACCTGATACAGGTTTATTGGGAGTTGGGAGGGAGCAAAAATGTGGACTGTCTGAGGGTCCCCAGCGACTGGGTTGAGAAACCCAGGCCTGTAGTCCTAGATGGTTAGTCTTTTTTAATACGTTTGCCATGCTGACATGTTCTAGCTAATCTTAATATTCAATAGCTAATGATTATCCAAGTAGGATTAATGCCCTCTCTCTTTTCCAGACGTATATCGGCACACTGCTGGTTTCAGTCAACCCTTACAAAGAGCTGGGCATATATACCAAAAAGCAGATGGACATCTACATGGGTGTCAACTTCTTTGAGTTACCTCCACACATGTGAGTTGGCATCCATGTTTTGGGCTATACCTTGGCAACAGGCAATGACGTGGCAGACCTGTGGCTAATGGCATCTCAGACCTCCCATCATTTATTCATGCAGCTACGCCCTGGCTGACAATGCCTATCATGCCATGCTGACGGAGATGAACAATCATTTCTTCCTTATTTCCGGGGAGAGTGGAGCTGGCAAGACAGAAGCCTGCAAGAAGATCCTGCAGTTCTATGCAGTCAGCTGTCCAACCTCAAGTCTCCTGGACAGCATCAGGGACCGGATGCTGGTCTCCAATCCAGTGCTGGAGGTCAGGGTTCTCCTGCCAGACCCATGATCTGCACACTAGCTGCTCCATTAAGGCTGGTTCATACTTACTGTCGACGCGCCACTGTATGCACAGCTGTGGTGACATAATTGCATCACTAATGTCAAGTACGATAAGAACTATATTGGGGGGCTGTGTGGAATGGCACATACCACTCGAAAATGTTTTGCTGTCAGTGTGGACATCCTATTCAGTGAACAGACGTGCCTCGATCATTCATTGTCCAGGGGTAAAGTAGCAGAAAGTCAGAAGGGAGATTGGACCAAAAATCGTATATAAACACCTTTTCTACTCTCTCTGATCAGACTGAAGACAAAGATGGCTAGGGGATTCAAAAAAGGTTGCCTGGGGAAGTCCAGTAATACCTGTATGTATATGATTCCTCACTATGGGATTATAAAGACTCCCGGATACCTACAAACTAAAATAAAATACGTTTGTAACTGCAACATCTTTGTCTTTGAATCAGTGTTGATTGAAAAAAAAGTAGATTTTTTTTTAAATTTAGTCTTTATATTCTTTTCAAGTTTCATTGGAAATTAAGTTTAGGTTTAGTTAGTTTTCAGTGTGGTTTTATTAGTTTTTATTTTAAAGGTGTAGATCTCTTTAGTTTTTATATATTTTAGTTTCAGTTTAAGTTTTACTAATTTCATTTCTAGAGATGGAAAATTGTAGGACTTTGCTGTTTCTAAAGTTTAAGTGTATTGCTTGAAGGAGGCCCAAAGATAATCAAATCAAAGGAAACTTTAAATTAGATTTTAATATGGTAATGGAGAGTACTTGAAGATTGTTTTTATTTCATGTAGTTGCCAGTTTTCATTTAGTTGTACAGACGCTCCTCTACTTACAAATGAGTTACGTTCTGAACAGCCGTTCGTAACTTGAAATGTTCGTAAGTCAATCATTTTAAGGGTATACGCAAGTACAAAGAACTGGGATGCTGGGAGTACACACGTTATGCTGCTGTGCAGTGGGAGTAGCGGCCAGACGTCATACTAGGTGGAATTGGCGTGCAGAAAAAAAAATGATGGTGCGGACAGAAAACGGGAGCCCAAGGAACAAGGTTGGACTCAGTCCTCTTTGTTCACATGTCTGAAAGTTCATAAATTGAAAGTTTGTAAGTAGAGGAGTGTTTTTAATTTTATTTTCATTTCTTATTTTATTTCAGTTTACAAAAATGTTTTTGTGAATGATAAAAACCCTGCCTTGTGTACGTAATGCATGGTTTTAGTAAAATTCTTAATTTTAATATAACATTCATACCACACTTCATTAATGTGACTTTAAGAGCAGCTTTGCTCTATAGTGCTACCCCAGCCCTGGCATCAAAGTATGTGGTTTCCTGGTGTAAAGATGGTCCAGCACTATGACGCTCGCACTGTGTCACGGCCACATCTGCAGGAAGTATGAACCAGGCTTTAATATAAGCAAAAGGGCAGCCATGGCTCATCTTCCCACCTGTTAGCCATCTTTTTCCTTGTGTAAATTCTCCCCGGGTCTCCCTCTTTTATCCAAAAGGCATTTGGCAATGCCAAAACATTGAAGAATGACAACTCAAGCCGCTTTGGGAAGTATATGGACATCCAGTTCGACAGGCAGGTCAGGAAAGTGGGCAGAAAGCCTACCTCATCCACCTTCAAACGCTTTGATGCTGCTCCGTGGGAGTCAAATGAAATTCCTCCTCTTATGCAGGGGGAGGCAGTCGGGGGCCACATCCTTAGCTACCTGCTGGAGAAGTCCCGGGTGGTGCACCAAAACCACGGCGAGAGAAATTTCCACATCTTCTACCAGCTGGTGGAGGGTGGAGAGGAGGAGACGCTGCGATTGCTGGGACTGGAGCGTGATTGTAAGCACTACAGCTACCTGGTACAGGTAAGGGCAGTATGTCACTAAATAGAAAATTAAAAAAAAAGATTCTGAAGAAATAGTAGCCCCACAGTGAACAATGTCTGTCTGGAATCTTTCATGTGTGTTTCTACATTAATAATCCTCTTTGCCTATATTCAGTTGTGTTGTGTATGATCTATTGCTTTTAGGTGCCATTAAGTTGATGAAAACTCCTGGCATCCACATTAACAGCAGTTCTACAGAATGTTCTGTCTTGTGTTTGGCTCTTCTGGCTTCCCAAATGGCATGTTCAGTGTTGTGATGACTAAGTCTGACCACTGCATTTCCCCCATCTCATTTGCTTTTTTCCAAGTATAATTCCTCCAATGGAGTGGTTCTTTTCATAATATCCACCCATCCATCCATCCATCCATCCATCCACCCATTTTCCATATTTCTTTGTGCTATTGCATGGCAGTGGGGGTCCGGAGCCTATCCCAGAAGTAATGGGCACAACACAGGGAATAACCCAGGTCAGGGCAGCAACCCATTGCAGCATCTCTTAATGCCTCTTAGTATTCACATCATTTTGCTTCCACATTTGTTCACCAGGGGGAGTATAGAACTGTCCGCACTATCAATGACAAGAATGACTGGAAGACAATGCGAAATGCCCTTACTATCATCAACTTCTCAGAGAAGGATATTGAGGTGAACATTAGTACCAAATATGAATAAAAACACTTTTTAATGTATCACAAGAAGAGGAAATGGCTCAAACCAATTTAAAAGTGTCTCTTAGATTAGCAAGACCAGATAGAGTTCTGGAGCAGTGTATAATGCAGCCTTTGTTCCCCTTTGAGACAGCACCTGTTAGGGATTGTCGGCAGTGTTCTCCACCTGGGCAATGTCCAATTTGAGGCTGATAGGGATGGATACGCACGTCTGAGCAGCAAAGCAGAGCTACGCTGGGTGTCGAAGGTGAGGGGGAGAAATAACCATTGACCTCACTTCAGCATCACCTACCAGAGTAGCAAGCACCTGACCCACTGCGGGATTTCCTTCTCCAGCTGCTGGGGATCCATGTGCAAGTGCTACAGGAGGCACTAACCTTCAGGAAGATCGAGGCCAAAACAGAGGAGGTGAAGGAGCTTCTGGAAATGGTCACCAAGGCATCCCCCTTGGGCAATACCAGGTCTCACAGCTTTTAGACCCCTCTTTCCATGTGCCCTCCAGGTGCTCAGCCCCTTCTCAGTGGACCATGCCATTTACGCTAGGGATGCACTGGCCAAAGCTCTATACGGTCGCATGTTCACATGGATCGTTAACAAAATCAATGATTCATTGGAAAATCTGGTGAGTGCATGCATGTGTGTTATGCGTGATGTGTATTGATGAGACTGGAAACATTGTGTACACTTCTCTTTCATCATTGTAGGATTCAAGCAAAAAAACCGTCATAGGACTCCTGGACATCTATGGCTTTGAAGTGTTTTATGTTAATAGGTAGGTAGAAGCTCGTGGGAGTCTTACTTGCATAAAAATGTTCTGAGAGCAGAACGAAAAATGATTTGTTCAGAGAGATGACCAATCAGACTGTAGAGGAGGAGGGACCAATCAGTCAGGGTCTGTATTCACAAAGCATCTTGAGGCTAAAAGTAGATCCTAAGTTGCATACTTAGGTGAAACTCCAAAAAATAATAGGCGTGTCAGTCCTAAATGTAGGACACCTGACTAAGAACAATTCTCAAAGCCCGTTAGCCGTAAAAGTAGCACTTAAGTCTGGGCGAACTAAAACGTAGTCGAGAGGACTTCTAAGTCACTATATATACTGTATAAGAGCAATTCACAAACAGTTGCAAAATGGCTGCAGTCAATACACGTTGCGATATTTTGGAAACATTAAATGACGCTGAATTACTAATTGATACTGCCTCAGTCAGGAGGGGATAATTTTTGTTGTGGAACTTGTGAGGAATGCAATAACATCTGCAACAAACCAAATCATATATAGTGGAAACCGTTTATAGTGAGCAGTATAACCGTTTTTTTCTTTTCTTTTTCCTTAACATCTAACTGACATTTGTATATTTATTACATGAATATAAGGTAATAAAACGGACAGCGTCGCTATATGTACTGAATTTTATTGACTTGTTAATTCAGAATACAGTGCAGCTGTTTCAAACGCTTTTCATATTATTGAACTGTGTATAATTCAAATAAAAATATATACCTTATTGCAGTTTTGCGACTATTTCTCGGTGGTTCGTTTTTGGAAGTTAATGATTATGCTTTGATGAGTTTATATTTATCACTGAGAGAAAATGACTTTCTTTTTCCCGTCATGTTAGAGTAGAGCTTTATACAACATACCTTTACATGATATCATACCTTTAATTGGTTGTACGAAAATCTGCCTAGCACATCACCAATCTACTAATAGATGCACATGTTGTATAAATTATATGGGTCAAACGCAAAACTCATAGCAAGACATTGGATTCTAAAAGAAAACCAAACTGGACGACAACAAAATGGTTCTTTTGGCACAGTTGGTGCTTAAATGGAAGGAGGTAGTGCGAGGAAAGTTTGGCCCAGTTGTTACAAGCACGGACAAAAAAAAAGCTTAATTAGGAAGCTATTGCAAGCTCCGTAAATGCTGCGTCACCTCAGACAAGGCGTTCAGCAGCGTAATGTGAAAAAAGGTGGTATAAATAGGTATAAATCACAGTTTATAAAGCAAGCATGCAAGCTACAGGTTTGTGTCATTACTTATATTGCTCTTATGACATTCGCTATAATAGATGATTATTATTATTATTATTTTTCCAGTTGCCAAAAACGTAGCATCATATCACCTTCAGTTCAACTGTGTAAGTGCATTTTTAGGTGACATAGGAGATTGTATCCGGTTCCTAATTAGATTGGTAACAAAAAGAATGCCCTCATGATAGAGCCTGTACCTTCTTATCAATTCATTATTGTCGTACGTCTGCAGGACGTCCTTTCTTTGACGGAAAGTGCGCGGTCTCCGTCTGGGTGCGCGTAGTGCAGCTGCCATCATTCAACTCCTAACTGGCTTAGGAGTCCTCTCCAGCTCTCTAAAATAATATAGGAGTTGAGACCAAGTCTTAACACTTAAGAATGTTTATGCATGCCACTTATTCTTAAGTCTGGGAGTAGGAGCAAAATGACGTCACTCTTAGAATTGTGACGCATTTAAGAGTGAAATTTTACTCTGAGAAGTTTTATGCATACAGGTGTTATGCCGAAAAATGCATCCCTGCCGATAAAGGCATCTCTGCCTTAGAATGCATGCCGGTGTTCCGACGAGTTGAGCTTTTAAGGGTTTTTTGGGGGTCAGGGGTTTTTTAGGGGAGGGTTAGGGTTTTAGGGGTTAGGATTTTAGGGGGGGGTTTGGGGGTTAGGGCTTTAGAGGTTTTTTGGTTTTTTTTGGGGGTTAGGGTTAGAGTTTTACGGATTTTTTGGGGCTATTGATTAGCACTACGGTAGCCTTACTCGACAAAGTAGCTCAAATCGTTTCAGATCAGCGACCAATCGGTCATTTAGAGACAGGCATGCATTCTACGGCAGGGATGCCTTTTTCGGCATAACACCGGTCCTGGTCCCACCTCCTTTATTGTGTGATTGATTATCTTTCTGAACCAGTCATTTTTAGTTGTGCCCTCACAATATTTTTGTGTAAGTAAAACTCTGACAGGCTAGGTGGTTTGTTTATTTATGCCCTAAGCCTTTAATTCCGGGTACCACTCAGTTAAGCATTCTACTTACAGTTGCTCCAGTTGAAAATATTCATTCTCAATTGGTTTTCAAAAGTCCTTCATGATCTGTACCACCATACAATTTAGGACAATTTAATATTGTAAAATACATGCACTTTTACATAACATTATTACTGTAACGGTTTGCTTTTGTCTTTTTAATTTTTTCCACAATAGCAGGCAACACCCATGCACAGTTTTGTCTGAATCGTCTGTCAATGTATAAGCATAACTTAAAATCAGTCAGTATATTGTTCAAAGGTAGTCACTGTACTTTCATTGAGGTATTAGCATGTTACTCTACCTGCTGAATGTTAATTGTACACAATCTCCAAAGTGGCTGCTCAGGCTCCCTGCTGTTTGCTGTTAATGCTGCTGACCGCCTTTAACACTCCCCTGTGCTTCCAGCTTCGAGCAGTTCTGCATCAATTACTGCAACGAGAAGCTGCAGCAGCTTTTCATCCAGCTGACGCTGAAGTCGGAGCAGGAGGAGTACGAGGCCGAGGGCATCGAGGTGAAGCCCTGTTCAGGACAGTGTCAAGACCCCTGGGCCATCCTGTCTTTATAATTTAGTGAAGTTTGTTCCAGGCTTTGCATCTTTAAATCAACCCAAAACATAAACATAGAGGGTACTCTCACAATACTGGTAGGGACACGTCCCACTGTCCATACCCAAATCTATGCCCCTGATTAAAAAAGATGCAATAAAGGGGGATGTTTGCTGGATTTTTCTTTTAGAAGAAGTTTGATCTGGGACGTTGATGTTGGCTTTCTCGGGTTGGAGAGCCATTGTGTTTGGGGGGGCTGTGACGTCAGTATAAGTCCCAGGTGGGCACTAAATGTGACCAGAGTACATACCCAAAATTGTTCCTGTCTGATTGTTTGGGGTCCTACATTGTGGAGGGCAATTGGCTGTTGGTAACTCAAGGCTTAATTTTTAGTGATGTTCATTTCTAAGTAGGAGTTTGTAGGTAAGGCTAATCCTCCTTGGAGTTTTAATGTGTCTGCTTTGTTCTTAGATGATATTGCACTATTTAGCTGTTTCACAGTGGACACCCTCCTGGCTGGGTACAAGGTAAAATATCTGGAAGGCTTCTAGTTATGGGTAGAATGGTGATGAATTTAGTGAAAAAACATTAGAATTTTAGATTTTGAGAATTTGTTTCTGTGCCCCTCCTCTCGGAGTGCTGAGGTGTTACCCGGTGTTTTGTGGGCTCCTTTGGCTGCCGTAGAGCCCCATTGTTGTGTGGAGAACTGTAAGTGGATGAGCACAGCCAAAAGGCTCCCTGTCCTTCTCTGTACCAGTGGGAACCGGTCCAGTTCTTCAACAACAAGATCATCTGTGACCTGGTGGAAGAGAAGCGTACGGGCATCATCACCATGCTGGTGAGGGAATCTGCTTGACAGCCACCACTGAATGTGGCAGAGCATGGTCCCCTGCGATGTGAAGTGCAATGGATTTTATGGGCAGCCCAGAGACCATCCCCACTGACCATGTTCCTCTTAAGGACGAGGAGTGCATGAGGCCAGGGGACACCACTGATATAACGTTCCTGGAGAGACTGGAGGAGAGGATGGGGAGCCACCCTCACTTTATCACGTAACCCCCCCCTTCCACTGCCCTTCTGACCCCCTGTATTGTGGAGCTTTCCTTTTACACTGAGTTAATGTCTTCAGATACACAAAAATATCCAGAATAATTACTGGCAGCATTTAAAGCCCAAATAATTTCCAGCTATAGATAGCATGTAATTTGTATCATGGGTATGTTCTCTGGCAAGCAGTTATATAAACTTCTGTTTTTGATCAACACTGTGGCTAACAGACACAGACTTGCTGACCAGAGGATACGTAAGACCATGGAGAGAGGGGACTTTCGCCTGCTTCACTATGCTGGCGAGGTCACATACTGTGTAGTGGGTGAGTCTGGCCATGAAGACGCATGCAGGCAGATATCTATCACACACATGGGGCAGCATAGGAGCAGCTGAGAAGCTTTTGTATTGTTTTATTCTATTTTCTCATATGTTGCTGCGACATTTTGGGAAACTTCTGCAGTTGGGCGACTTGTTTATTGTTGATGCCAAGGAACACAGAACTAAATCTATGAGAATCTTCAACAATGAGATATTTTGGGCACTTCTAATAGTAAATATTTTCACCAGCCAAGTTCACAGTAGAAACCTTTGGCCAGTCTGTATAATTATGAAATTAATGATTTCAAACAAAGCTATTGTACTGGTTCACATGCAACAGACAGATATTGGTGGGTCTCTTGGTCATTTTTACTTGGACAATCATTTAAATAACATGATATGAGTAAAAAGTTAGCATAATCAGTAACATACAGGAATAGGCTAGACTAGAAAATTAGTTTAAATTCAGATTTCTGAGGGGCATAAACCACTACAGTTTTTCCCAATTCGGTCCTCAGAGACCCACAGACAGTCCATGCTTTTTGCTCACTCTTAGCTTCCTACCGGAGCAAAAATGTGGACTGTCTGGCAGGGAGATCGGAGGAAGCAAAAACATGGACCGGCTCTGAGGACCAGACTGGGAAACACTGCACAAGACTAACCAATCTTATCAGTGGACACCAGAAATGTCAGCAGAGTATTCTAATGATGGACTCGTAGTCTTGTTGCTTTGGTTTAATCAAATGTTGGCAACCTCTCTGATGTTTTTGCAAGTGAGATGTTGAAAAGTAACAATACGAGCTACATTTGCAGTGTTCTGGCCCCACTGTACATCAACACAACATAATCCAAAGAAGTCCAAGAAGCAATATGAAGCAACTGAACTGGAGCTGCTTCAGGAACTTGGCCTCATATCTCCTGTTTATCATTCCAGGATTCATTGACAAAAACAATGACCTTTTGTACAGGAACATCAAAGATGTAAGTGGTCAGATTTCAGTTATACAAATTATACATGCCAGGGCAGCAAGGAACCTGTTTCAGTCAAGCTGTTTATTCATTAAACCCAATGAACGTGTCATAAATAACAGTGCAGTTGATAGGCTAATTAATCATGTCTCACTCATTACTGACAATAGGTTTGACTGTGTATTTAATGTCAAATTATGAGGCATCTTCCTTAGAAATTTTATATAATGTTATTATATAAATGTTATCATATTATATATTAATATTATATATAATATTTATAATCTGGGAAAAGAGAGTTTAAGGTGATACCTCAAAATGTGTTGTTTATGTTTTTAAATTTTGCTGAGAGTAGGCATTCTGAATCATGTTAGACTAAGAGCCAGTGGAGAGGCCTCACTAATGAGTGCAAACGTGTGTGTGTGTGTGTGTGGGTGGTGCAGATGATCCGACATTCCAAAAATGGTATCGTCAGGCACTGCTTCCCGCCCACAGAAGTGGACAGCAAGAAAAGGCCAGAAACGGTAAGGAGATAAAACCATCGATGCATGTTTTGTTGCTGGTCCAGGAAGATGCAGTGGGTACCATGCAGGACATGTGGTCCATATCCTCCCACAGGTGGCCTCACAGTTTAAAAGCAGCCTTGCTGAGCTCACAGAGATCCTCATGGCCAAGCAACCCTGGTATATACGATGCCTGAAGTCCAATGAAGCAAAACAGCCAGGTGAGGCCAAGCCTTCCCCAATCTGCAGCAATTAGGAACATGAACTCATAGCAGGCAGGTGATCAGTTCTAATCCCAGGAGGTGTTTTACCTCCTGAATTGCTGTAGGGAAAAATAATTTGTATAAATGGGTAAATGTTACTATGCATGTATTTAGCCTAATATTTATCAGAAGAGTTTAGGCTATCAAAGCTATAAGTGCACATCTGCAGTGTCTGATGAAAAGCCATGCAAACAGGGAGAGACAGGGGTGAGAGTTATACCCCCAACTCTGGAGGAATGAGGCTAGGGTATTACCTGCTGAGCAGTTTCAGCTCTGGGTCAGTGTTGCCCAGTACATATCTTGGTTGGATCATGTTTACAGGTACATGTGAACTTTACCTCTCTCCCACGATAGGGCGCTTCGATGACATGCTGGTGAGGCACCAAGTGAAGTACCTGGGCTTGATGGAGCATCTGAGGGTGAGGCGTGCCGGCTTTGCTTACCGGCGCCGCTACGAGGTCTTCCTGCAGAGGTGTGTGGACTGCAAGCGATGGCACAGAGAGTGAAGCATCACTGGACCGATTAGCCCACCAGAGTTAGTGGTCTTAAGCAGATGAGTGTCTGTTCATCTCCACAGGTACAAGCCCCTGTGTCCAGCCACCTGGCCTCACTGGAAGGGAGTGCCAGCGGTAGGGGTGGAGAAACTCCTCATACACCTGGGCTATAAGGAGGATGATTATAAGATAGGCAGGTGGGGACCACCAATCAGAATGCGGGCAATATTTGACCAGAGTTCAACTGATGTCACATGACATTACCTCAAGGTTGATTGCCATAACTGAGCTCTTACATAGGATAAAGTGATTATATAAAAGCAATACAAATTTTGGTTTGATGTATCATAATGGCGCTAATTGTACTGCATTAAGTTAAATATTACTCATATTCATATTTATAAGCACCAATATTATCAAAGATCCCATAGCTTACAAGCATTTATGCTTTAGAATTCATAAATTATCGTTTGTAATAGAGGTTGCATCTTCTTGTGTCATGGATGAAGAATGAGAAACCCAGAAATATTTGTTTATTATTTATTTACTTGTATTTTATATTTTCAGAACAAAGATATTTATCCGCCATCCAAAGACCCTGTTTGCCATAGAAGATGCCTATGAGATCTGTAAGCACGAATTAGGTAGGTGCAACATAATAAAAACACAAGTATAACAAACAAACTATTCAGAAAAGATTCCCTAAGTGGAAACTCTGCCATTCCTTTTTTTTTATATATATACAGCCTCAAAGATCCAAGCCAAATATAAGGGTTACAGAGTAAAAAACGAGTTCCAGAAACAGAAAGAAGCAGGTAAGCAGAATTACCTTAATTTGTGTTTCCAGGCAATGGTTTGCACTCCTCAGTCATAGACTTAAGCAAGAACAGATTGGCAGATATAATAAACCAGTATAAAAGACAAGAATTATATGTTTTCCGGGTCAGGGTCACAGATTTTTCAATACATGTAAGGAATATAGTGTGGGAGATGGTTTCCAAAGCAGTCAGTAGGAAAATTGAAGGCCAAAATTCCTGTGTTTATTCTACTTTTAAACCTGAAAAGCACAGAAAAATCAGTTTTGCCCAACTGGTGTGATATTTCTCTTTCTTCATAAGCTACAAAGATTGAGACCTGCTGGAGAGGAGTTCAGGCCAGAAAAGAGCGAGAGAGGAGGGCTTGGGCCGTCAAAGTCATCAAAAAGTAACAAGAAACATCACCTCGCATACCACCCAGATCTCAGCCAACTGAAACCAACTTTCTGTCTGACTGCTGTCTATAGCTTCTGAATTAATACTATCCCTGGTTCCAGGAACCAAAAGTAGTAAAGATGAAGTAAAGATCCTTCTTTTTTGGCCCTGTAGGTTCATTAAGGGGTACATGACCAGACACGAGGCCTCCACCACAGACAATTCGGAATACCTCACATTTGTCAGACACAGTTACCTAACGAGGCTGAAGAATCAGCTGCCCAAAACTGTCCTGGACAAAACCACCTGGCTAGCACCTCCACCTGTGGTGAAAGAGGTGAGGAAGCTACTGATAGTGAAGATGACTTCATCATGGAAATCTGAATTTTCAGGTGTTCACCATGAGTTTTCCTGCTTACATCTCACTACGTCTCTCTAGCATTGCATCTTGACCATGTCCAGGGATGATGACCTGCATGCTGCACTACTATGTTATAGTGTATCATAACTATATGTCTGGTCAACCATGGTTTTGTGCAGGCGTCGGAGATGCTGCGCAAACTTCACATGCGACTCCTAGTGAGGAGGTATGTCAGGGGCGTCACAGCACAGCAGAAAGCACAGGTCAGTTGTGGCGATCCCAGCTTAATCTTTCCTAACTTTTTCAGGGAGGTCATTGCCTGATCACCTGATTGCTAGAAACTTCACAGTTGACCTCACTAGTTTAATTTAATGTGCATGAATCATGAATGTTGTTTTTTCTGTTGAAATATCAACGTGCCCATAATAATGTTTTCCTTCAGCTGCAGTTAAAGGTGGTGACCAGTGAGCTATTCAAGGGGAAGAAGGACAGCTACCCCCAGAGTCTCGCCAAACCCTTTGCAGACACCAGGATCAGTCGGTTTCTTTTCAGCATCATCCCTTAACAACCTTGGTGCATGATTATTTAAGAACAAGGGTATTGTAGCTAACCTTCCTCTGTACGTACAGGTGAACATGACATAAATGCGAATGTCCTACAGATTATTCGCCATGAACGCATCAAGGTAAGTCAAACACTTCAACCCCAAATATCTGCACAAATGCACACAAAGTTAACAAAATATGGTCTGATGCTTAATAAAACACTGTAGCATCAGGTCCTTTCAGATGAAATACAAAAGGTAGCGTTTCAGTGAGCAGCCTTACTCTTATGTATATCCCCTTAATGGAGTAAAAGAACTGTCCACCTCTGCCTCTGGTACCCTGCAGTACAGCACCCCAGTAGTGAAGTATGACAGGAACGGATTCAAGCCGCGTCCACGTCAGCTAATATTAACTCAGACTGCGGCCTACCTGGTGGAGGAAACCAAGATAAAGCAACGGGTGGAGTATAGCTCACTCAAAGGTGACCAGCCCTGTCATCTGGTTAAAGGCTATTTTTCAGGCCATCACTGGACCCTGCACAAATATTCCTTTTCTAGAACTTGACTAGTGATGCAATGCAATGTCCTCAGGATTCCTGAGTAAGCAAACTTCCTCTGTGGTTACAGGTATATCTGTTAGCAACCTGAGTGACGGCATTCTGATCCTCCATGTGGCACCTGAAGTCAAACAGAAGGTGAGCCTCTGAGACACTCAGACACTTGTGTCTCTCTACCAACGGTCCTTCTGTTTCATTTAACTGGTGACTTGGCTGGTCTGGCAGTGCTGGCATTGGGCTGTCAGCACATGTTGGAAGGGCTATCTAAACACATGGATCCCTGTTTTCTTCTGGTCTCAGGGGGACCTTGTCCTGCAGTGTGACCATTTATTTGAGACTTTAACCAAACTGAGCATGGTGGCCAACAAGCGCAACGTTGTTAAAGTGGTTCAAGGCAGGTAAGCTTCTCCACCAAGCCATTGTTCCTCTTTCATCCAACAATACATTTATTTGCACTAACCTGGGAACCTGCAGCTCAAACTGGGTATTAGGGTTAATTAATCTCATTTGGGTTATGCACTCCCTGTTGCCTGTAAGATCTTGAGGCTGACACCCCTGCTTTGATATCACCTTTCCAGTATTAAGTTTGACATCAAGCCAGGCAAAGAGGGGTACGTTGACTTCAGCAGTGGGCAGGAGGCAATGGTATACAAGGCCAAGAACGGCCACCTAATGGTGGTAAGTAGTCACAGGCTGCTACAACTGTTCCATTTAGTTAACACTGCCTTTTACTACAGTAGATATGAAAAGCAAAACAGACATTTTGAAATGAACATCAAACAGAAAAAAGTTGAAGGTACCATATCCACTCATGGTTAGATTATGCTAGTCTGTTCTTGAAGTTGCTAGACATGAAATATTCAGTTCCTCCCTCATAGAACCCATCTGTTTCACATCCAGGTATCAACAAGAAGCAAATCCCGCTGATTCTTGTACCAAGAGAACTCATGGATACAGGTCTACAAAGCCCATGGATATGGAATGGCCCTAAAGGTTAAGGAATCAGTAGCTTCCCCAAGATGGGGCACCACTGTTCTCATCCTGAGACAGACAGGTGATGGTTAGGGCACAACTGTAGTACATTTCATCCTAAAATATGAGGTGGTGAACTTTTAAAGACTGAAATTATTCAAGGAAAGTCCATCTTTCATTACCCTTAGCAAGGTACAATGGACACTATTGAAAAGTTTCCAGTGTTCATTAACAACCACCCCATGAAATAAATATAAAATTCCTTAAGTCCTTTAAGTCTTCCACAAAAATGCAGGTTTAGGTGTTATGATTATCCTACTAAAAGGCACAAAATAAAAGTGATTTTCGTGTTTAAACCTTCGAAAAACATTGATTTTTGGTATGAAAAAGCATTTAAAGTATTTTATCTATGATATCACAGCATATACAAAACACACATCACAAGTATACTTAAAGTGTTTTTATTGTGATAATGTATAAATATAAGACACTTCACTGTGCATATGTACAAAGATTTTCATTGTGAAATGATTGCTTAAAAAACAAACTTGTACTTAAGCCTAACAAACCAATCATTCCTTTCAAAAAAAGTTACAATGCAGCACAAGTTTTTAGTTTTTAAATAACTTTCTGTAAAAGGGATAAAGGAATATGCTTCCCATTTTGGTCTTAGTCTCCAATTCTACACATGAAATTAACAACTGAACAACTCACACCATGCCCAAAACTTACATTTTCAAAACACAAAGCATACGGATACTGGACTGAATTAAATGAGGGGCACTGGATGTCTGCTGCTCCATTACCAAACTAAAACAACTGGGGAAAATACCTAAGACAAACAAAATTAAGACACGCAAAATTAACAGTGCAAAATAAGCCTTCTATGGTCTTGAAAAATTTTGTGAAACACTGTCCTCTGGTGGACCAGAAACAGAATACCAACACTACCTCACCCTTTCACCTCCAAAATGGTTTTTCACCACCACCAATAGTATACTTCAAATAATGAACATTATAAAAGTCAGACGTGTTCAAATTCACTCTCCTCTGAACACCTTAACACCCAAAATGCTTCTGCACACTTACTACAAACTTTTCAGACATAACATTTATAAAATTAAATCTGTTTCAAATTTCTGTGTGGAACTTGTACACTTCCATCCATCTATTTTTCATACATGCTTTTGCACAGCATTATTAAGACTCAAATTATATTATTTGGAACACACATGGACTACACTTACATAAGAGACGTTTTCAGGATGATGTGACAGATGATTAATTAAACACCACCTGATAACCAAATGTTGGGTGGTGGAGTAAAGCTCTCAAGTCTTCCTTAAAATCTTCCCTGACTATAACTTTTCTTGAACTAAACTAACTTGGATTAGTCACTCAATACTGGAAGATGACAGCTCTTCATTAAAAAAAAAAAAAAAGGAAAAAGGAAAGAGATAAACCAACAGAAGCTATAACCTTCCAGGACTGGGACCATCATTAAAACATAGCCAGTCAATTACAGTCCTGGATAACAGAATCCAAAATATTCCCAGCTCTTATTACAGAATTAAGGGTTGAGGAAAAGACAAACAGACCGGAAGGCAGGAGGAGGGTGGCTTGGTGCCTGGCTGGAATAGAAATGTCCCAGACTTAGCCCTACAGGATTATAAATGAGCAGTCCTGTAATCCCACGGCTGATTCTTAAAAAGATATTTACCTCCCATGCCGGAACGGCCACCATGACGTCACAGCAAGACAAATTAGGGCAGCTGAGGGGAATCCACTAAGCTAATCGCAAAGCGCTAATGCACTGTAGAGCTCAGAGGAATGTTCTGGTTTGGTTGTAGACTGCGTTGGGGCACCACCAGTTTGACTGTGAAGGAGAGTTACGCTTGTCTGCATTTCCAGCTCAGAATGACATGGACTGCCAAGACACAGACTGCGTTGCTCCTCCCCAGACACATATCTCCCACCCATTCCCCACCAGAACAGGGGGGATGTGGTGCCAAAAGACACGTGCTGCGGCGAGCCCTCTGCTTCAGGCATCGCGTCAGTCATAGTGAAGCAGATTCAAAAACCAGGAGCACCATGGCTCCGGAAAGAGTCCCGACCCCAGCTGGGGGTAACTGGGGGGGCTCCTGTGCGGGGAGCGGTGGTTGTTATAAGGCACGGGCCACAGGCTTCTAGTTGTGAGGGTACGTGTGTGGATGCATGTTTACGTACGGCTTGTGTTTACGCGTGACACGGTCACTGGTGGTGGTGCGTGCGGTCATCCGGCCTCTTCACGTGGATCCGGCGTACACGCTCAATGCGCTCGCGCTCCTCATCCTCATCTAGGTGATGCGAGCGGCCTGCGGCGCCTCCCGTGGCCTCCAACAGGGCATTGTCAGGCCCTCTGCCATCCTGGGATTCATACAGCAGGATGTTGAGTGTCTCTTCATAGATGCGGGCCTCTGGGAACTCCACCTTGGAGGGATGCACCAGAAACATCAGGACTACACAGAGAAAACTGTTCTTTTTTTATACACTATTACAAAATAAGCTGTATTAACTGCTTAATGTGTTTGCCAGAAAGTTAGCCAAGGTGCCTGTGTCAGTTACCTGTACAGCACGGTAGCTGTACAGCACAAGTGCTACAGAGCAGTGCTTCTCACCTGCTTTAGCCTCAGGACCGACACTTTTCCTAGGTTGTTATATCATGACCCAAGTTGTTTGAATTTTGAAACAAGGTCATTTCCAAAAACATAGTGCAGTAACAGTAGCACAATGTGGTCATACACATAAAAATCCGACATGAGCTTTTTTTTTTTTTTACCAGAAATTCTGCGACCCAATGAAATTGGTCCTGTGGCCCACCAGCTGGGAAACAGTGCTATAGAGCTAAAGCAGGACACCAGCAAACTGACATAGCTATCTATATTACTTAGCCATTGACACCCGTGTTTCCCGAACAAACGCTCTGGGCACACTGGCCAAATCCACATTGTTGTTTTATCCCAGTTCCCAGCACACCTGTTCAAGAAGTTTCAAGAAGTTTGTCATATGCACAGTAAAGACACAAGTTTCAGACCATTATCATTGTGTAAAAGGAAACAGCAAAGTAGGTAAGGTACTTAGAGCTCCTGATTGCTTAGGTCAGGTGTTCTGGGAATTGGAATAAAACAAAAATGTGGATCTGTCCAGTGTGCCTTGAGGACTGGTTTGGGAAACACTGGTTTTCACTACTACCTGCATGACAGCCTAGCTCCACCTACATACGTCTTTTACATTCAAGCCAATTAAATTATTCCAGTCATTGCTAAGCCTAGCCCCTTACTCCACGTATACGGTACCTTGGTTTGCTTCTTCTCTGTGGCATAGACGATGGAAGTGCAGCACACCTCAGCGATCTTGCGGCCCTGGCCATAGAAGGACCAGCAGCAGATCTCGTCCCCGATGACGTCCTTGATGAAGAGCACTCGTCCGTTGAAGCGCAACGACAGCTTATCAAACAGTTCGATGTTCTTCAGCATGTTGTCATCAGAGTTGCTGCAACGCACAGTGGAATGTGGTCAGGCAGGGGAACTCGGCACACTGGGGTGACAGCAGCCTCGTAGCAGGCAGACCTTCCCCTTTCTCACTCTACTTCCCGCATGGGCCCACCTTACCTGGTGTAGGAGTACTTATTGTTGCTTCTGTTGTACAGCAGCTTTACTGTCGGCTGAATGGAGAGAAAAGGCAAAAGCCCAGGTTAAGGGGTTACATTTCTAAACTTGATTTCTCACCACGTCTCACAGGATAGCCTGCCTACCTTATTGGAGGTGGCGATGAGTCGCTGCTCATCCTTGGAAGAGGTCACCAGGGGCACCTTGCAGAACGGCTCATAAGTGTCCTTGTTCTGAAACAAAACTCACGTGAGCCCGCTGACGCAAGATCAAAGGAGTTTCTTGGCAATAAATGAAAGTGCAACAGGCAGGCAGTATCAGAAATTAAATACAGTGAATACAAACTGTGAGTTACTGGAGTTCAAACAGAGCCTCTGACTTTCCTACAACCATAATGCTTTTCACAGATGAGAGAGATTCTGCAATGGACAAGCTGGTTACTCTGTATCCTCCACACAGTGGTACCAGTAATGAGGGAGAGGCTCAGCAGGGCTGAGGGAGATCACTGCACCTGCAGGGCAGCATGGCACTCATCTGCCAGCCCTTGGACCAGGTAGTACTTGGCCTCGGCTAGCAGCTCCTCCACCTCTCGCCGGCTCTCAGGAAGTGGCACTGCCCCATCCCGCAGGTAGTTTAGGATAGTCCCGAAATGTTTCCCACAGCGGTCAATGAGGATCCAGCCTGGGGATGGAACTGGAACTTAATACACTTGTAGCAAAGTATCAGTTACCTTAACATCCATCAACAATGGAGAATATCATCAACCAGGGTTTTGGGGATCAAATTATAGGCTATAGAATATAAAAATAAAATAATTAAAAAATTCTGGGAGAAAAATCATTCACTAGTACCGATGTAAATTTAGTACAGCACAACAGACTCTGCTCCTAACAAACACCCCCAGACTAAATCAAGCTTCAGCTCTCAGTTTAGACAATGCACTAATTATTTCTTTCAGCGGCTAAAATCAGGGAGGCTTTGTGCTTTCACAAAAGCTTTGATTCTTGCCAGCAGGCCAGAAAGGCACATGATTAGCAGACAAAAACATCTAGAGGAATAAACATATTGTACGACGGCAATTTTTAAATGATTTAGAAAAGGTTTCAGAAATACATTCAAGCTAAGTGAGTTTGGTTAGTAATTAGATACTATGAAATGAACCAACATGAAACAGTAACTCAAAATCAAAAGACCCAGAACATAGACACACATCCAGAGAGACTAAAATGGATAATCAGCAGCACAGTCTTGCTGCTTAACCCCACCCCCCCCGGCCGATCAGCACCTTCACTGTCCGTTAGCACCTCCATCCTGCCACTGAACATGGCCTTCAGCATGGTGTCCTGTTTGGTGAGTGTCTGCATGGTGGTATAGTACAGCGCCCCTCCCACATTCAGCTTCACATACTTGGAGCTGGGACTGGAGCCCTTAAAAGATGTGGTCCTAGTCGTAGCTGCTGGCACTGCCGAGCTGACCATACTGTCTCCTGACATCTCTTCCTGAACGTACAAAGAGCAACAAATTTGTTGGTGAAAGACCAGGCTTCAAATCCCTGAAGTTACACTGTTAGATTCTGAAGAAGTGAACTGGCTGTGGTCACACAGATCTTTAACTTGCTCTCAAGAAACATCCAGATGGATACATGGAGAACAATGATTCACTCCATACACCGGGATCATCAGGGTTCATCAGCCAAACACATGGCGAAGATTCTCCAGGAAGTTCAACGTCACCGATATGCAGATACGTATTTCAAACCCAGTAACACATAATTCACGATACATTAAACGTTCAATAGTAAAATACCAAAAACTGTTACAGAGTTAATTTAGTGTCTACCATGGTTGCTGCGCAAAGGCTTAAATACGAGTAAACGCGAACAAGTGTAGACAATGAGAAAGGTCCCACTTCTTTATAGGAACAAAATCACCACTGAAGAGGAGGGTCAACATCAAAGGAGGCATTCAGTATATGGAGAGTTCTGAGGAGGTGTGTGGACATACAATTTACGCGTATAGTTTAGGCTGCTATACTACCAGTTCAGCACCGTAAAGCAGTCCCCATTACTAACACCCTTCACTTGCTACGAAACCAAGCCAACGACGTAAGTTAGCCAGTGACACCTGAACCATAGCGGTAGCCTGGCAATTAAAGTATGCAGAACATTCGCCAACTTTTGGTAACCAGCTACCCGGTTTGGAAGCTATTAGACTAAATGGGCGGCCCCATTATTCGGAGCCGAATATAGATAAAACATCGAGTTAATTTGCCAGTTAAAATGGAGTCGTGCCTCTCCTGCCCTCTAAACGCAGTTAGCAATTAGCAGGCTGCATTCCTCAAGAAACAAAAAGTCCGCTATCATCTACCCCTCTGCCAGACCTACAGATCGTCCTGCCGACACGAAATAACGATACCAACAGTTTTAATGTTTAAACCGCTTTTTCTCATTACCATAGAATCGAGAAGCGCTCCGCAACCCTCCGAAGCTGTCGGCCAGTTGCCCACTTCCGGTCCAAAAAAAAGGGCCTCATATGATTGAAATCCGCTTCCGGTCAATGACGTAAGTGTACTTTATGCGGCGCACTCTCCCACAGCCGGCAAGTCTGATGGTGCTTCCGGTAGCTTTTACAGCGTGATCTTATGGGCGGTTTAAACGGCTCGCACCCCGGGTAATGCAGTATATCTTTCCCCACTTTTTACTGTGCCCAGTAAAAAAAATAACATGATCCAGATGAGATGTCAATGTGCCCAGTTTCATTCTTGCGTACACATGAACGCGGGTGACAGCTCTAATAGTAAATGAAATTTTAAACGCACTATACACTATCTCTTCAAAACCGGCGCCACCCCAAATAAGGCATTGTTGTCGGTTTAGCCTTTCCGGAACCTAATTAAATCACGTTTTTGGTGAGTAATAAGAGTAATTAATTATTTCCAAAATTTAATGTGGATTTTGTTTGAGAGTGTTGCAGAGGGGGCAGCGTCACCCATTGGGTCCGTTTTAAGCAGGACATTTGTGGTGTTAATTGGTGGCGCTTGTTCGCCTGCTGGGTAAATGTCAAAGACGGGCGTTTTCTGCACGGACACATTTCCAGGTGACAACGGCAGGATTAATGGCTGATCTGTGTGTGTATTTTTTGCTCTTATTGTTTTTGGATCGTTTGGCTCTCTTCGGTCATATAATTGACAGCGTTATTATCGCCGGGTTTTCACTTCTTCATTTTATGTCTTGTGCTGTGTATCTTTAGTTTGTTACGTTACGAAATGGGATGCCATTAGCTTGCAATACTCGCTGTTTAGCTGAAGGAGTAAATAGCCAGGAAACGTAATCAGCTCCTTTTGTTGAAATGTCATTTAAATCGTTATTTAGATATGGTTAATATTTATAAACTGGCACATATATTTTTGCATTTATACTTGTGTTTGCTATACAGTAAAGGGCAAACCTGTCATTCCATGGCTACACCCAAACATGCAACATTATATCTTTTTTGAGCGTTGTTGATTTTAATAAGTTGTTTGTCATCTGTATATGCCGTCGGATTATTTTTAGCTAATTATTACGGATTCTGAGCTTCAGCAATGAATATGATTAGTTATACAGTAATACGTATTATTGTTTTTTTCTTTTAATGGGTGTAGCAAGCAGGCTGCATCTAGCTCAGCCAGCTTCTTGTTGGTTTGTAACTTGAGGAGGACATTAATGTCGCCATCCAGTAACGATGAACTTTTAAAGTTTTCACGAACTGCGGTTTAGTTGCCGTGAAATCAGCGTCGTTCACCTTCTCCGTGTGGTTTCTTCCCAGAGATGACACTGTCCCCAGCCCATGCTGATTTTATCCCGGGTTATTTCTGGAGGTCTGTAAGCGATCCACAGCCCTTTGGAAGTCGGGATTCTCGCAAAACGATGGGATATATAAAGCAAGCTGCATGAGCTGAGGATCTCCAGATAAAATCAGTCGGTCAGTACAATCTGTATTTTCACTCATGAGAGTTTTGATTCACTGTATTGACGTCCTCTGAACACAGGCAAAGCATGTCGTTTGTAGTAAATGCGTGGCCTGTGACTGTTGTCTCAGTAACGTGAATGATAGTGCCATTTAGGAAGGAAAGATGTTCAGCGTGGCCCAGACCTCCAAGTCCCAGTTCCTGGATAAAGCCAGGCAAGCTCGGGAAGAGAGGAAGGGGCATAAGGAGCGTGAGAGATCCGCCACTCAGATCCAGGCACTGGTCCGGAGGTTCCTATGCCGCTGCCGGTTGCAGAAGCAAATAAGGTTTGCACGATGTCTTGGACCTAGCCTCGTAGATTTTAATAGATTACAGAATTTCACAACATTCAAGTTTGCTTTTATGCATTAGACAGCTGCTTTCGCACAAATGAAGTTACCTGGTAAAAACATTGTTGATACAGTGAATGCGTTCCAATATTATGAACACGCGAAAAAATGATCAGATTATTCACTTCTAATTAAAATAGTAAGGATACAGATCTAACAAGGTGAAAGGGTTGTATTATATATTTGTTAATATATGCATTCTTTATATAGACATTGATTTCTGTGGCCATTTATGGGACAACTGTGTTTAAGCTATAGTGACATTTCTTACACACACCTACAATCTCTGGCTTCTCCAGGAAAGAGGTGGATGAGTTCTTTCAAGCTTATGAAGCTGGAACCACCAAAAGAAATGCACTTTCCATTTTTAAAAATGCAAGAAAATTATTATTCATATACAGTAAGGATGATAAGCTGGTGAGTCAATCTAATATTTTAATGCAATGTTTTAAGAAAAGATAGATATTTTAGTGGCAGTTTAATTAGCACCTACAAAATCATGTCATGTTTTCATGTAATTTGTAAGGACTGGGCCATCCGGTGGTGCCTAAATACAGTTATATAAGTGGTGTTAAAAAATTAGATTTCTTGGTTATTGAAATAATGTGGTATACCTTATTTTACTAAAGATTGGTACTATGGAGTTGTATGGACTCTACCTTGAGTAGTACGTAACATTGCATATTATATATTTTATATGAATTCCTTTAAATACATTGGCTGTATATTTTTTCAATTCTAAAGATGCTAATTGCACCCTGGGCGTGTATTATTGGGTGGATATATGGGGGATATATATTCCATTATTACTATTTTTTAGGCAATTCTAACCATTTTCTTTTCATGTAGAGGTTTGAGAAGCTCTGTCGCGTGATACTTAGCAGCATGGAAGCAGAAAATGACCAAAAGGTCAGTGCTCAGGCATCTTTCTATTGGAGCAGGGTGGAGGAGATCACTGCTGACATCACAGTTGCCATTTGGAACTGATTTTATACGTTTTTCTTTAGGTGTGGTATGTGTCCCTTGCACTGTCCAAAGACCTCACCATCCCTTGGATTAAACAAATTAAAGACATACTGTGGGTGTGTTGTGAGTTCTTGAAAGTACTGAAGGTATGATTTCTTTCTGGAGTACGCCAGAATATTATTTTCTATGACAGTGTGAGGTTAACTTTACCAGTTGTAGGACTGACTGTGACTGTGTTTTCCTTCATGTTTCTAGCCTGACATAATGCAGGACAGCAAACTGGTTACTCTGTATCTCACCATGCTGGTGACATTCACAGACACCTCAACATGGAAGATTGTCAAAGGCAAAGGTTAGTGTCAGACCAGAGAAGACATTCCATGCCAGAATACATTCAACATTAGAAGCCAGCAGTTTTTTCACTCCAAAAGGATGGTCATCCACTGTTTCTGCATCTGTTGTGCCAGGGGAGAGTCTTCGACCGGCGCTGACACGCATCTGTGAGAATATCATGGGTCACCTCAACCAGAAGGGATTCTACACCATTCTGCAGGTGCTGTAGTCCTCTGTAGATCAAGTCCCTGTTATTTCTTGCTTCGCTGTGGTTTTCACTGATTTTATTTTGTCTTTATTTTTTCTTTTCAGATTTTATTAACTAATGGACTGGCTCGATCCAGACCATCATTTTCTAAAGGAACCCTCACAGCAATATTCACGCTTTCATTAAGGTGAATCACTACTTTCTGATCCTGGTGATTTAAAAATTAAAAATATCATGAACATGTTGTTTTTGTTTCTCTTGTTGTCACATTTTTGAAACATTCCTTTGTTCAACTCCATTTTATAAGGCATTACATGGTTGAGAAATTAAAATTTATCAGTATAATCCTAATTAGACTGAATCTATTGTTCATTGTATCTCTGCAGTGTTAAATTGAAAAATGTCTTTGTTCCAGAACTGGAACAATTTTGAGCTCAGGTTTCTATGAATAATTTACATTTAAAGTGATTTTCTAAGGCTTTATATTTAAATATTTTTGACAGCTGTTTCAACAGATGTGCGTTGAGCTGGATAGTTAAACTGATGTGTCTACGAAAATCTGTTTCTGACTGATGAGCATGGTCTTAGTCTCCACCTCCCACTGGTGAATAATTAAGTGCACATTTCACTACTCTCAGACCTGTTGTTGCTGCTCACTTCTCTGACAACCTCCTGAGGTCCTTCCTGATCCACATCATGTCTGTTCCAGCCATCGTCTCACACTTCAGCTCTCTCACACCTGAGGTGAGCACAGAGGTGAATTCGAGATGGGAGGGGGGGAGGTCCAGAACTCGGCGAGGTCACAACAAAATGCAGAAATCCAAACCCTCGAACCCCTCAGTTTCTTCCTGATGGTCTAAGAACCTTTCTTTGGTTTTGTCCAGTGCATGACCTCCTTTCAGACTCACGAACTGCTCCGGAAGTTTATCATCTTCCTGAGCCGGGAAGAGCAGTGCATGGACATATGCGTCTGCCTGGAGGGGAGCCACACGCTTTGCTTGCTGGGTAGGTCTCCTCTGTGTTTTGCTTTTGTAGTTTTCATTCGAGAGATGAACCCATTTACAATAATTCAAGGCCGAGAGAATTATTATAGTTCTTTTAAGTTCATTCTTGTGTCTTGTGTGACAATGACTGACTGGTTGATATTGTTTATTTTAAACTGTAAGGGAATCTGATTCATCTGGGATATGTCACTGAGAAGGTGCTTGAGGAGGAGGCCGGTCACTTTGTGAAAGATCTGACGGACATGCTGTCCTACTGCCAGCGCTACGTGTCCCAGAAGAAGTCCAACCTCACGCACTGGCACCCTGTCCTGGGCTGGTTCTCTCAGACGGTCGATTACGGGTTGGTGGAAGTTCAAAGGTGACCCGAGTATTGGCATCTCTGTCCCCGAGGCTGAAAAATCTCTTCCTTCTTTTGCAGTTTGAACGAGTCCATGCCTTTGGTCACCCGACAGCTTCAGTACCTGTGGGGGGTGTCCATCATCCGGACTCTGTTTTCTGACGTTCTTAGCAAAAAGCTAGACAGCCAGGAGCCAATGCCCCAAACTCCACAGCCCACCACTTCTCAGAACAACCTGCCGGTGAAAAGTGAGAAGCACAACGTAGCCGCTGAGTGCCGTCACACAGCACACGTTTCATCCATCTATAAAAGTCTATATAATAAATATCCCATATTATTAACTAGGTTGCTGGCTCTAGTCCTAAGACTACAGTGTTGTATGGTAGCTATTTAGGTCTCTTATTTGATGCTGTAAGCACATTAGAGACATGAATTGCATGACCTAAGAAAGTGACCCTCTTTGGATTGCTTGGACAAAGCCAAGGCATCAAGCTGCTTCTCTCAAGGCTTCACCTGTGTCACATTGCACAGACCTCTTCAAGAGGGCCTTCCAGAAGTCTGCGTCTGTACGCAACATCCTGAAGCCCGTTGGGGGCAGGCGGGTGGACTCGATTGAGGTGCAGAAAGTGTGCAGTGTCTGCATGCTCTACCAGACAGCTCTGACCACACTCAACCAAATCCGGCTGCAGATTCTCACTGGTCAGTTCCTTGAACTCTTTGATGACACATCCACCTCTGGCTCATTAGAGGCCCATACTTGCCTCTAAATTGCACCCTTGCGTCTCTCTTCCACAGGACTTACATACCTGGATGACCTGCTCCCCAAGTTATGGGCCTTCATTTGCGAATTAGGACCCCAGGGGGGACTCAAGCTCTTTCTGGAGTGCCTGAACAATGACACAGATGAGTCCAAGCAGCTCCTGGCCATGCTGATGCTCTTCTGTGACTGCTCCCGGCATCTCATCACGTAGGGCCACTTCAAATAGAAGATGGCTCACTTTCACCTCCAGCTGTCTGGGGCCTGTTTCAGAAAGCAGGATTTCATGCTTAGCTGAATTTAAGGTAGTCTGGGCTAAATGTAAGTGAATGAAGATAAAGCCCGTTTAAACTGGGGTATCTTAAATACGACAAGTTATCCAGCTAAGCAAGAAGTGCTGCTTTCTGAAACATGGCCCTGGAGGACTTTTTTTTTTTGTTTTTATTGTATCATTTTCTTTTAATTTCAGTGGTTCCTGGCTGATTTGACTGCCCAAATTTGTCATTGATTGTAGAATCCTGGATGACATTGAAGTGTACGAGGAACAAATCTCATTCAAAATTGAAGAGCTGGTGACCATTTCCTCCTTCCTGAACAACTTTGTGTACAAGATGATCTGGGATGGCATCCTGGGTATGTCCCTTGCCATTCTGTAAGGCTCTCTCAGAAGGAGGGTAACGATTTGCCTCATGGTTTACATTGACACTTCTTTACTGTGTCATTTGCTTAGAGAATGCTAAGGGTGAGAAGTTGGACCTGTTTCACAGCGTCCACGGCTGGCTAATGGTGCTTTATGAGCGTGATTGTCGGCGCCGGTTCACCCCCGATGACCACTGGCTACGCAAGTGAGTGACCCTGGGACTCAAACTCCTTCAGCATGCTAGCCTTGCTCGTAGTTATTAAAAGGGATGAACTTGCTGCTGCATTTTTTGTACTACCTAAGAGTCTTCCTTCACATTTTCCATGTGCCATTCCCAGAGATCTGAAGCCAAGCCTTCTGTTCCAAGAGTTGGAGAAGGGAAAGAGAAGAGCTCAGCTGTTGCTGCAGTACATCCCCCATGTCATCCCGCACAAAAATGTGAGTGAACGGGGAATACCCCTACAAGTTTCAGGGTACTTCTTCTCTTTTTCACTCCATCCTAAATCACCATTCAGGATTTGACCCTCCATCCTTTTTCATTTTCTCTTCCCAGAGGGTCCTTTTATTCCGTAATATTGTGACAAAAGAAAAGGAGACTTTGGGATTGGTGGAGACAAGCTCTGCCTCCCCACATGTTACCCACATCACCATTCGTCGTTCTCGAATGCTGGAGGTACGTAGCAAAGGACAGGAATACATCCATCAATCTTCTAACTGATTATCCTGGTCTGGGTGGCAGGCGGGAAAATAATACAGCCATTATGTCACCTAAGCAACTTGGTGATACTTATGAGAGTCTTTTCCATGGACTTTAGGATGGCTATGACCAGCTGCGCCGATTACCCATCAACTCCATCAAGGGGGTCATCCGAGTGAAGTTTGTCAATGATCTTGGGGTGGATGAGGCTGGTATTGACCAGGATGGGGTCTTTAAGGAGTTTCTGGAGGAGATCATCAAGAAAGTCTTCAATCCAGCACTCAACCTATTTAAGGTATAGTATTCTTACATTAGTGGTTGTTTTCTTTACGAATCTCCATTGTAAAGACTCCAATGATCTTCATTAACTCTCTTTAAAATAATAGACCACCAGTGGAAATGAGAGGCTCTACCCTTCTCCAACATCCAACATCCATGAGAACCACCTACAACTCTTTGAGTTTGTGGGTAGGATGCTGGGCAAGGCTATGTATGAGGTCAGTTTCCCACAGTCCCCCTCAGTCTGAATGCCTAGGTTATTGAGAGCTCTGATAACCGATCTGTTGATAATTGTTGTTGGCGATGATGATGATGATGTTGATGATTTCTCATTAAGTATTTTAAATGCATGTGGGGTCCAGGGCATTGTGGTGGATGTGCCTTTTGCCTCCTTCTTCCTGAGTCAAGTATTGGGCCACCATCACAGCAATTTCTACAGCTCTATTGACGAGCTGCCTTCCCTGGATTCGGAGTTCTACAAAAATCTGACCTCTATAAAGGTCTGTCCTCCCTTCCCACTTCCTAATGCTTACCCCGTATGTATTTTTAAATTCACTCTCAGGCTGTTGTCCCCTTAATTTAGTTTTCTTTCACCTTTAAAATTGCAGCGCTATGACGGAGATGTCAGCGACCTTGGTCTGACCTTGTCATACGATGAAGAAGTCATGGGACAGGTAATGGCTGATCGATTTCTGTTCCTTTATTGACCACATGGTAACATGACAACATTGGCTTAGACAGCGCAGATGACCCTTGACCCATAGGCTAAAGCTCTGTGTGTCTTCACAGCTGATCTGCCACGAACTGATCCCAGGGGGAAAGACCATGCCTGTCACCAATGAAAATAAGTGAGTTCTTTAGATGTAGCTACATTTCCCACATTTCTTTTACGACTTAAGATCTCTAATATGTATTTAGTTTATATGGCTGACACGCTGCATATACCAGCATGTGAACACCACAAGTATGTATTGCAACAGTACTAATTTGGACAGCAAGTCACCTTATCTGGACTTTCTGGTGTCTAATCAGCGTCTGACGAAACTGCTGTGCATTAGGAGGCAGCAGTAGACAGGTGCTTCCTGGCCACCTTGGCCAGTCCTTACCATTGTCGCCACTCCACTGCAGGATCAGCTACATCCACCTGATGGCGCACTTCCGCATGCACACTCAGATCAAGGATCAGACAGCGGCCTTCATCCGTGGCTTCCGCTGCATCATCAATCCGGAGTGGCTACACATGTTCTCCACTCCGGAGGTGCAGCGGCTTATCTCCGGGGACAATGCTGAGATCGACCTGGATGATCTCAAGTGAGCACCTGTGCATTAGGAATTCTTTAAGTCAACTGCATAATTACCAAACTATTTTCTGCAATTTGCTCAAGGGAATTTCCATTGTAGGACTTGCAGGCTCTGCAGCTTTTGTGCTTTGCTATGCTGTCCCAGGCTTTTTTATGGCTAATTATTTGCATTTTTGACTGGTTCTGGTGTTCTGGATTTTGCCAGAGTGTGTCTTAAAGTACGAGGTGTGCGTGACTTTCATGGGTTTTGTTGGGCTTCAGTCCCCTTAACCTCTTTGTTTTTTCTCCTTTCAGGAAACACACTGTGTACTACGGAGGATTCCACAGCAGCCACCGAGTGATTATTTGGCTGTGGGACATCTTATCCAGTGACTTTTCGGCAGTGGAGAGGGCAATGTTTCTCAAGGTGAAACATTTTCTATCTTGGGTATCCATACCAGACCTTAGGTCTGGTATGTCATGTTGCGGGTAGTGCTGTTGGTTGTGTTGTAGTAGTAGTAGGTAATGGTGGTTGTTGTGATGATATGGTTTTTCCTGTATATGACAGTGTTGCTGTTTAGCGTCAGCATTTTTATTGCTGTTGGTGGTGTATCATTTTATTAGCAAGTTCATGGGTGTGGTTGTCTTTGCTGTAGTATAATTAGATCGAACTGGAGATGGCGGTGGTGTTTATTGTTGTTGTTGTTGTCGTCGTCAGTTTGTCACCAGTTGCTCACGGCCCCCCCTCCTGGGTTTTGCCTACCTCAAGCCGCCGTTCTCCATTCGTTGTGTGGAAGTCTCTGATGATCAGGTGAGGTTGGGGATAATACTGTCTGAGGAAACTGAATACTTTTTCAGTCATATTTAGAGCTGTATGTTTCTTACCTGAAAGTGTGCGTGTCTCGGGTGCCCCAGGACACGGGGGACACCTTGGGCAGTGTCCTGCGGGGCTTCTTCACCATCCGGAAGAAGGAGCCAGGAGGCCGACTGCCCACCTCATCCACTTGCTTCAACCTGCTGAAGCTGCCCAACTACAGCAAGAAGAGCGTGCTCCGGGACAAGCTGCGCTACGCTATCAGCATGAACACGGGCTTCGAGCTGTCTTAGGGCTCCACTCAAACTTCTGGGATCCAGAGAGGCCCTGTCTACTGGCACCGCACCCAAAAGGGACACTCCCCTTGCTGGCCCTCCATGCAGACAGGAAGTCCCTCCTAGCACTCCCCCAGACAGGAAGCTCCTCCTCTCTGATACCCTAAAGCTGCCTGTGCACTCCTACACCCTATAGGAGGATGCCCTTCAACCTGACACCTGGCTGTGAAACTGGCCAATCAGTTACAGACATTTTGAGACTGGTTTTGACGATTAGAAAGCATCTGAGACAGAACAACTTCACCCTTTTAACTAAATCTTCTCAGCTATAGCCCATGGTTAAAACCGAATGCTAGGTTAATGTAATGTAATTAGATGCCTCTTAAAATCTAGTGTTTCTCAGGCATATGAACAAGGTTTATGATCTCTCACTACATATTTATTAAACTGGACAGCAATACAAATGCAAGCCATGAAAAAGAAAAAACTTACAGGAACACACGAGGAATTATGGGGAATTACACATACCTGGCACGATCCTTAAATAGAAATTGAGAAACATGCATTTTTTTTTTCTTTTTTCTGAAGACACGTTTCCTGTAACAGCAGCTGGAGACTGGGTGTCTTTGTGTATTTATGGGGTTTCAACACTATCCTTACCCTCTACAGAATAAGGTGATTTTGTATCAGTTTTCCCATATTCCTGTTTCCTGAGGACAGTATCTTATCTGTCCTGCTTTCTGCCTGTTTACTGCTGTTGCAGAATTGATCAAATATGACTAGATTCCTTGCACCTTCATTTACACATCCATTCCCAATGCTAAGCGATAACAGAAACTGCTACTACTGGCATCTAATGTAGATGGCACACATTTTTAAAACCGTTGCAGCATTAATTCTTTTACCTTGTGACAAGTTGTGTTGTGACATATCTGATCTTGTCCTACAACTCGGTGACAGAGGTCTGTTTTGCTACGGGGTTGTTTTGTTGCTTTAAAACATGGAAAACACAAAAACGCAAAGCCATTTTCACAGATGATAGCTTGAAGTCCAAATGTTCTTGTTTCTATGGCGACTTCTCTTTTTATTGCCGCCATGAATTGCCAGGCAAATGAGAAATGGACCACACACCCTGGTTCAGCTTTGCTAACATGTAGACTCCCTTGAGGAAAATCCTTCATGTCTTTCAGCTGTGCTGCATTGTGGGGAAGAATTTGGAAATGTCACCTTATCTCTGGGAATGAAGCCATAAACTTGGGTGGGGGGGGACAACCACAATTATAGCAGAGATCGTGAGAAGGCTGTGCTCCTCGAGCAGCAAAGCCCGCTGCGAATTGGGTGCTGTCAGATGCATGTACGCAAACATCCACCTGTGCTCAAAGCCGTCCAATAGGAAGCAGGGGAAAAAGGACATGTACAACAGCCCTCACCCAAGGCATTGTGGAATGGCTTGTCTTTTTTTAAGTCATCTAATCTCCATGACACTGAAAGAAGGGTTTTTATTTTTTTCCAATTTTTGATGAAAAGCTATAGATGAATAATTAGGTTTTTAAATCTTTTTTTTCCCCATGGAATTCTAATGAGCCCTTTTATTTAACATTTGTAAGGTTACGTAATTGATGGACTGTCTTGTGAAAATCAATATGTAACCTCTCGGCACTACTATGGGAGTTCAGAGTGAAGTGTTAAGGGTTAAAAAGAATAGCAATAGACTAATTCTAATTTAATTATGCAAAGTTGTCTGTTTGAGGCATCAGTCAGTGTGTTTGTGTACTTGCAACCCAGCGACCAGGTGGTGTTTCTCTGAAAACTTTTTATTTTTCTCAGAGTGTTTTTCAGTTCTGGAGCTATGTAAAAGTACCCATCCATCAAGCACACAGAATGTATGTGCTGTAAGTGTAACATCCAGGTTTCTGTTAGAGAGTCCAGCATTTCAGTTGTTCAGTTTGTGAAATGAATAATAAATTTTTAAATCTGGGTTGGTATTAGCTAGCCTCCCCCTGTCTGATGGGTAGGTAATTGAAGTGAGGTTTCTCCTTGTGAGGCTGTTATGGAGCTTTCAGGAGCCTTTTCATGATGGCCCCCGTGCTTTACAAAACTCGTCTTTGATTTACTGACCCTTTTAAGATCAAGGTTCTAAAATCACCTCTGGAAAAGTGTGACTTTAAGTAATGGGCACTGGAGCTGCCTGGTGACTCAAATTGATGTACAGCTGGATGTCATTGAACAGCTAGTTCTACTCATAAATCTATTCATAAAATTTCCATAAATGTTGATGTATGGCATATACATATGTAAATGTATAAATGACTGCTGGGGGAAACAACTATGGAGATTTTTATTAATATTTGGTATCCGTTTTTAAATTACACGTGTATAAAGGAATCTGCGTTTCTTTATAGGTCAGTCAAACTGATTTTTATGGAAATCTCTGGTGTTTTCTAAGAAAGGGCTCTGTCTAGTTTTAAGTGTGTTGTGGTCACATCAGTCCTGTCCTAATGCCGTTTCAAGGGCTTCGTACAAAATCGACTTCATTGATGTCCAACGTAAGAGTCTGGATGATATGGGGACTTGTTTATGATGGATTTAGAAGAGTGACAACTTCAAGTTCACCAGAGTCAAAAGATACCTCACAGGCTCAGCCTAGTGTTCCTGATCTTACTCGTCAGTGTTTAATGATGTCATGAAATTTTACACTTGCTCTCCCTTTTAACATGAATCCAGGAAAAGAAAGAGATGAAATACTTTCTCCCTCTTAAAAGTGTCTTGGAAGATAAAAAAAAAAATATATTGGTTGCACTGTGTGAAATACTAGGTTTATTTCAATGTAAAATTGATTATTGTGTATTATCTCATTGAAGTTATTTCTGCTGTAATGTAATAACATTATTGTTAACTCACCATGTAAACCTTTCATTTTTCTTAAACATTTATAGCTACCCTTGTGCTTAGTGCCTCGTTATTACAGTACATCCATCCATCGTCACAAGATTTAAATTAATCAAGCTACATTAAGTACTCCACTCCATCTCTGTAAATTCTTGTCACACAAGTGAATGGGGATTATTCGCACTAGGTGATAGGTTTATTTAAAATCATCTACTACATATGTTTCCAAATTGCAGCCAAATTATTCCCCTACTAAAAATCCTAATCTGGATACAAATCTACTGGCAGATGTTTCTCAAAGCACATAGAATATTGCTTTTTACCATTAAAGTCTTACCTGTACCGCTGTGTGTTTGGGATTTATTTTTATATACGCCCACTGAGCACATTATTAGAACAACTGTACACCTTCTTATTCATGCAATAGTCTAATCTTATTATGTGGCAGCAGCACAGTGCATAAAATCATGTAGATGCAGGTCAGGAGCTTCTGTTAATATTCACATCAAACACCAGAATGAAAATGTGATGTCATTGATTTTGACAGTGGAATGATTGTTGGTGCCAGACGGGCTGGTTTGAGCATTCCTGTAAGTGCTGACCCTGGGACTTTCACACACCGCAGTCTGTACATCCAGGGAGCAGTGGTTCTGTGAATGGAAATGCCTAGTTGATGAGAAAAGTCAGAGGAGAATGGCCAGACTGGTTCAAGCTGACAGAAAGACTACAGTAACTCAGATAACCGCTCTGTATAGCTGTGGTGAGCTAAAAAGCATCTCAGAATGCCCAACATGTAGAACCTTGAAGCTGATGAGATACTACAGCAAAAGACCATGACGGATTGTCAGCCAGAAATAGAAAGCTGAGACAACAGTGGACACAGGCTCACCAGAACTGGAGCTGGAGACTAGCATAGCCTGCTCTTGATTTCTCCTGAGGTACATACAGTAGATGATGGGTTAAGTCGGATGTACTGAGGCGCAGGCTGGACAAGCAGAGGTATGTGGCTATGAGTCTGACTAAAAGATGTATAGAAGCACAAGCCATAATAAGCTATGTAGGATAATAATATATTAAATATGCACAACATCTACCTTGTGGAGCCCCCGTATGTATTTTGGACAAAAAAAATGCTTTATTTATAAAAACAGCAAACATCAACCCCAAAGCCCAATATATCACTTAATATTTTTGTTTCAGCAAGCAAAACATATTTGCTAAGTATAAGTCTATGTCTAATCCATCCATCCATCCATCCATTTTCCGCCGCTTATCCGGGGTCAGGTTGTGGGGTCAACAGTCTAAGCAGGGATACCCAGACCTCCCTCTCACCAGCCACCTCCTCCAGCTCCAATGGGGGAATACCAAGGCATTCCCAGGCCAGCCGAGAGATGTAATCTCCTCCCAGTTGGACATGCCCGAAACACCTCAACTGGCTCCTTTCAATGCGAAGGAGCCCCTCCCGAATATCCAAACTTCTCACCCAATCTCTAAGGCTGAGCACAGCCACCTTGTGGAGGAAACTCATTTCGGCCGCTTGCATCTGCGATCTCATTCTTTCGATCACTACTTAGAGCTCATGACCATAGGTAAGGGTAGGAACGTAGATCGACTGGTAAATTGAGAGCTTTGCCTTCTGGCTTAGCTCTCTCTTCACCAAAACAGAATGGTACAACATCTGCATTACTGCTGATCCTGCACCAATCCATCTGTCGATTTCTCGCTCCCTTTTTCCCTGACTTTTGAACAAGACCTCAAGATACTGAAACTTCTCCACTTGAGGCAGTACCCTAACCCCTCACCAGGAGAGGGCAATCCACCCTTTTCCAGTCGAGAATCATGGCCTCAGACTTGGAGGTGCTGATCATCACCCCAGCCACCTCACACTCAGCTGCAAACCCCAGTGCATGCTGAAGATCACTGGCCGATAATGCCAACAGGACCACATCATCTGCAAAAAGCAAAGACGCAATCCTGATGCCCCCGAACCGGACCCCCTCCTCCCCTTGGCTACACCTGGAAATTCTGTCCATAAAAGTTGTGAACAGAATTGGTGACAAAAGGCAGCCCAACACCCACAGGGAACGAGACTTTTTGATTTTGCAAATCCACAAAACACATGTAGACTGGTTGGCCAAACTTCCACATCTCTTCCAGTATCCTCGTTAGGGTGAAGAGATGGTCCAGTGTTCTGCAACCAGGATGAAATCTGCATTGTTCTTCCTGTATCTGAGGTTCGAACCAATGAATGGACCCTCTTCTCCAGTACTCCATCATAGACCTTCCCCTAAAGTTGGAACACATCCTTCGGTCCCCCTTCTTAAAGACTGGGACCACCACCCTAGTCTGCCAATCCAAAGGCACTGTCCCCGACATCCATGCAATGTTGAAGAGGCATGTCATCCAAGACAGCCCAACAACATCAGTAGCATTCAAGAACTCAAGATGTATCTCATCCTCCTCCCAGAGCCCCCTGTTTGACCACTTCTGTGACCTCAGCCCCAGAGATGGGCAAGTCCTCTTCTGAGTCTTCCAGCTCTACTTCCTCCAAGGAAGGCGTATCAGTGGGATTTAGGAGAAATTTGAAATATGTCTTCTAGTGCCTGACTATATCCCCAGGTTGCCTGACAGAAACTTTTTGAGGCCGACTGAAAGTCCTGCTCCACAGCCTCACCAAACTCCTCCCACACCCGAGTTTTTGCTCTAGCAACCACCAGAGCCACATCCCGCTTAGCCTGCCAGTACCTGTCCGCTGCTTCCGGAATCCCACAAGCTGACATTCATGTCTAAGGTCTTGGGGAAAGCTGTCTTCCACCACCTGTCCTCATATTTAAGTACACATAATATTCTAGGCAAATTTCAGTCATGCTTTAGAGCTCACCGTTGTACTGAGTCAGCCTTTTCAAGAGTATATAATGACTTATTTTTAGCTGCTGATTCTCGTAAATGTGCTGTCTTAATTCTTCTAGATCTGAGCGCAGCCTTTGACACTGTTGATCACACTCTTTTATTAAACCACCTGAAATGTGGTGCTGGCATCCAGCTGTCACGTTGCGTGGTAGGCGGACGAGCAGGAAGTCGAGGGGAGCCGGTCAGACGGACAAAACGGGGTTTAATGGGGATAAACAGGGTAGACAGTCATGGACAGGGCAACACCACACAACTAACGTCAATGACAAATCTGACGGGACTGAACTCGGACTAAGTACACAAGACAGGCTGGGATTAACTAGGAACAGGTGGGAACAATCAGGAGTCGACATGAGGTAATGAGGGGGCATGGCACACACGAGGATTGTTCGGAGCTGATCGTGACACCAGGCTTCTGCACTGAAGTGGTTTGCCTTTTATATAGAAAATAGAATATTTTACTGGCATAATAGAAAATTACTACTCCTCTTCAGCAAGAATTACTTAAGGAGTACCTCAGGGCTCTATTTTGGGCCCTGTCTTGTTCTCCTTGTACGTGCTCCACCTTGGGTCTATGCTTCAGAAGTGTGCATAAAACATCTCAGCACAGAGTTTCTTATGAATCGAAATTATAAGAATGATGTAATTTTGCTCTTATTTCAGAATTAAGAATACATGGCATGCAAAGTTCTTAAGTGGTAAGACTAGGTGTCAGCTCCTAAATAATTTAAGAGAGCAAGGTATTGTAAACCAGTTCATAGTTGCAAGATGGCAGCATTATGCGTATCAAATTGGAGACTGTGCACTTTCCGGTAAAGAAAGGATGTCCTGCAATTATACGATGATAATTAGTTGTTGGAAAGATAAAGGCTTGATCATCAAGGCATTCTTTTTGTCACTGACCTAATAAGAAGTAGCATACAATCCCCTACTCCCCTATTCTGTGCCCTAGTGGGCACAGAATACAGCTGGGGGCAGTGTATGGCTCAGCAGGCTAAACCACTGTACCTATGATTGGAAGGTCGCTGGTTTATACCCAGCCTCAGTAGGATTATCATATGTCTCTGGGCCCTTGAGCAAAACCCTTAACCCCCAGCTGGATCAGAGAATAACTGTGTCAGGCTCATGCTAGCAAAGACACTTGTGCTGCTAAATAGGGCCCTCTACCCTAAATGGCATTGAGTATATTTCTTGCTAAACTTACTTTACTCATAAAAAATGGAAAGATAAAGGCTTGATCATCAAGGCATTCTTTTTGTCACTGACCTAATAAGAAGTAGCATACAATCCCCTACTTCACATAACAATGCACTAACTGTGGAAATTAAGGTGATAATGACACTATGTTTTTTGGCAACGGGAAAAATGCAACGGTGCTCCAGGGATGACATTGGTTCATTGCAGTCCACAAAAAGTTGGGTCATAAATACTACTCTGGTGGCCCTGACAGCATCAAATGTAGTGAGGCAGTTCATTAACTTTCCAACAGATGTCCAACCCATACAGGAACTGTCTTCCTTCCTCCATAAAATTATGCCATACAATCAATATTGTAGTGTAGAGACGTGGTGCGGCAGAAAAAAAGTAAAGAGGCAGTCACCACAGGTGTCTTTATTTCAGCGTGTCTCAAACACCGAAAATCCCGTGCCCAGAGAGTCCCCGCTTGGGCATGCGTGATCACCACACTCTGCGTGCATGAGCATAGGTAAGGGAGAATGTAAATTCTGCTTAAATGGTAGGAGCCCCTACACTGGCGGGGCACATGTTCCAGCATGCCCCGCGTGCAGTTGTAAATAGCCCTTGTTCTGTTGTTGTTGTTGTTCTTAATGTTAATGGTTACATTTCCCTATTGTTGCGCTTGTGTTTGCCCGTGTCTTGTGTGTACCCGGTCCGACCCGCATGTGTATTTAGCTTATGTAAATCTCCCACTGTGTATGCATCTTATAGTTCAGCGACTGACAACCTTGTGTTTCCTGTGTGTGATTAGTTCGGTGCTCGTTGAGTGCCTGATGTAGTCCTTTTCAGGACTGCTAATAAAGAGCATGTTCTCCCCGGCATGCAAATTTCCGTGTCTCTCTCTGCTCCTGCGATGCTTTGGTCCACCTGATGCCACAATACTTTTAAGTCAAATTTAAATACCT